AATATTTTGTGACGTGAAACATAGCATGTATCTGTTTCTAACAAATTATGTTTATTTTACTGAATATTGATGTAGAAAAAAATGTATCACTTCCTATTCTATTTCCTATTCTGTTCATGTTTTATACTGTATATTTTTACACAAGATGTGTATCTTTATGTGAACCAATTAGATGTGTATCTTTACAAATCTAATTTCACTTGGAGGAAATAATCAACTAGTCACACATATGGACAGTAGGATCAATTTCAGTTGATTAAGTGTTTGTTTATTGTTGTGCCGTTTTACTGTTCGACTGATATCTGGGTGGGCTGACAAAATTACTTGTTTTTTCTTCTGTTTTCTAATAGGAAACAGCTCATTTAAATCATAATAACATTTCACAACATCAAAAGTAATGCTGCCTTGGTGAACATAAGAGCCTTATTTCAAAAATATTTAAACTGTATCGACCCCAAACTTTTGAATGGTAGTGTATGTTCAAAAATAGTCAACAAAGAGGTGATAACAATAATGGGGTATGTACTCAGTCAAATACATTGAGGTAAAGAGTTTTGATCTTACAATATTTAGTTGTTTCCTTGATCTTTCTTACACAATTTTAGTTCTTCATTGACTTTTAAATAGCTCTAAATAACAATTCATTTATTCCATATCCTGTATCCGATCAATAGTATATATTTGGGAATGATCATTTGTTATTTACTCTTTACTTCTAATTACATTCTTATTTATATATATATATATATATATATATATATATATAAACATATTTGTCAAATATTTTGTGACGTGAAACATAGCATGTATCTGTTTCTAACAAATGATGTTTATTTTACTGAATATTGATGTAGAAAAAAATTTATCACTTCCTATTCTATTTCCTATTCTGTTCATGTTTTATACTGTATATTTTTACACAAGATGTGTATCTTTATGTGAACCAATTAGATGTGTATCTTTACAAATCTAATTTCACTTGGAGGAAATAATCAACTAGTCACACATATGGACAGTAGGATCAATTTCAGTTGATTAAGTGTTTGTTTATTGTTGTGCCGTTTTACTGTTCGACTGATATCTGGGTGGGCTGACAAAATTACTTGTTTTTTCTTCTGTGTGTATCCTTTTTACTTTATGTAATTATTAAATACAACTTGTAACACTTTTCAAGGATATGTAATACACTTTAAAAAATATATATTCTGGTTGTGGTGGTATAATTCCTATAACAGGCATTATTTCTTATTTTATTTTTATTTATTTATTTATTAATGAAGAGTGAACTACGATCTTCAGGAAAAGCTGGAAGTTAATTCTAAAAATGTATCTTTATAAAATAATTACCGGGGGGGAAGTTGGAAGCCTTTAGAAAATTAAGAAATTTTTTTAGATTTATTTACTGTGGAATAACCATTAATTCCACAAGTTGTCTAATAAGATTTATTTGTTTGAACATGTTGGTTTCCTCATCAACACACTGCAAGTCGTCTGGCTTTTGAGTGAAAGATTTCTTCTTGCTAAAGATTTCACTGGTCATATACTACTAATCCTGCCTTAAAGGAATAGCTCACCGAAAAATTAAAATTTGCTGAAAATGTACTGCACCTGCATCCAATATGTAGATGAGTTTGTTTCTTCACGGGAACAGATTGGGAGAAATGTAGCATCACATCACTTGCTCACCAATGGATCCTCTGCACTGAATGGGTGCCATCAGAATGAGAGTCCAAACAGCTTATAGGGCTGAAATGATAAGTCAACATTATCGACAAGGTCTACAATTAAAAGTTGTCAAAAAATAGTTTTTTGTGGAATACTCTTCTGATCTCATTAGACCCAATTTCAGGTCCTGCAATACCATGGATTGACCAGTGGGGCGCTGTAGACTACTAATTCAGCCCTCCCAGATGCAAGAAGAAACCGAAGCAGACTGTGGGAACGTTTTACAAAACTATAAAAAATAAATAAATAAATAAAAATAAAAAATGCCCTGATGTACTCACAGCAAATTTATTTTTCGTTCTTCATTTAGAGGTCAAAAGTTGTTTGATATACAGTACAGAAGCAGCAAGAAGCAGTTAAAAAAAATAACTTTACAGTATTAATGAACTCAAGCCTGACACTCTCAGCACTCCCAAACCCAGTAGTCTCTACACCACAGCCACTTCACGTCACGGCTGCCATCCCAGAGCCTCTTCACGTCGTGGCTGCCATTCCAGAGTCTCGTGATGACATTGAAGCCATTCCAGAGCCTCATACTGTCATGGCCACCAGCTCTGAGTCTCTTCACAAGATGGCCGCCAGTCCAGAGCCTCTTCACAAGATGGCCACCAGCCCAGAGCCTCTTCACAAGATGGCCACCAGTCCAGAGTCTCCAGCCATCATGGACACCACGCCAGAGTCTCCAGCTGTCACGGACACTATGCCACAGTCTTCAGCCATCATGGACGCCACTCCAGTGTTTCCGGCCATCATGAACAATGCACTTGAAGCAAGCAAGGCAGTGCCCAGACAACCAAGACTGATCTCCAGTTTGACGGACCTACTGCTAGTTTCAGCCAGAGCAGCTGGCATCCCAAGGGCCTCAGCACTGGCTATCACAGAGACTGGTCCCCTATCCTCAGTGCTCCCTGTAATGGCTGTAGCCATCCTTTGTGTTTTGGGCTACACACTGCTCTACTACTCCTCCAGAGCCTGCTCCAGTCCATAAGTCCACTTCTGAGCCTGTTCCAGTCCATGAATCCACTTCTGAGCCCGCTCCAGTCCATGGATCCGCTCCAGAGCCCACTCCAGCTCCTCCTGAGGTGGTGGCGTCCGCTTCAGCTCCTCTCATGCCATGGCCAAGGAGACTGTTTGTGAACTCTATGCCTATCCAGCCACACCCAAGGAGGCTATCTCTCAACTCTCTTCCTATCCTGTCACAGCCAAGGAGGCCAACTCTGAACTCTCAGCCTGTCCTGTTATGGCTAAAGATGCCGTCTCTGTACTGTCTACGGTCCCGGTCCCGGTCCCTGCCATTCCTCCCTCTCACCACCAGAGGTCTCCATCACCTATTCACCCTGGACTCCTTTTCCCATAATACTCTCCATAGGAACTAATTACATGCTTACCTGTTGCCTATAAGACAGACTATTTAAGCTGCACTCATTCACACACACCTTGTGAAGCATTGTTTAGCACTGCGGACATTACAGAGCATTTCCCTTGTTTACCTTGCCTTGTTCTTTGCCTAGTATTGCCTTGTTATTGCATTGATCTCGGACTGCATTCTTGCATTTTGTGATCATTTGCTGCCTGCCCTGACCATTGCCTGCTTATAGGATTACGCTTTTGTCTCACCCTGGATGCTTCTGTTTGCTACTGTTTGACCCTGACTGTTTTGACTACGCTCTATTTTAATAAAGCCTGCACTTGGATCCTTTATTCCATTGCCACGCTCACTCCTTACAATGTGAAAAATGGCTGTTAAAAGAGTCAATAAGATGGAATTTTTGTTTCAGATCTGTCATTGGAGCTGAAATGTGCTAGGCTTATACAAACTATACACAAGCATGTAAGGCTGTCCCTTGCCACATATTCTAACTAATAAATAAAATAATGTCACTTTCTGCTTTAGCTTTCAGCTTTTGATGATGTCAAACAATTATATTACTAGTACAATTGTGTAATTATACAATTACAATTATTATACAGTTTGTTACAATACAAATAAACATTTTGCCTAACATTATCTTCTGAAAGTCATATATGTGTATATGGAACAATATAAAACGAAGTGATAAGTTTTATTTTTATTTTATTTTTTATTCACAACATTACCTCTTATAATGTTATGATAATCAAAGTCCAGAGGTAGATCAAGCATATATCTGTGCACCACAAACTATGAATTTATTATAATGTTTTGGGCTGTTTTTTGCATTCCAAAAAACAAACAAACAAAAAATAAATAAAAAAGTAAGCTCCATATTGGGGATCTGCTTTATAGCAGAAAATCAACTTGTAATTTTGAGTGAAAGCAACGCAGACACCGTGTTTCATGTTTAAATGTAATGTTTTCGACCATCTAATGCATATTATTTGTAATTGATTTTAAATATATCACAGTTTGAACATTACATTAAATGAAATTCAGCCACTTTTAACCACTTAAAATTCATTGACAGAACAATCTCTAAAAAAAAATACACAAAAACCCTTTTTGCTGATGCACAAAAAAACAACAACACTATACACAAAGTTACAACTCTTTATCTCACTTAGAAAGAGTCTGGAGAACAATGCAAAATCATTTTCTCCCTTACATACAAAAGTACCTAAACCTAAATCTCGCCATCACAGAAAACATAATTCTGTATGATTTATAAGCCTGTTTCCTCACTGGGAACCTAAAAATGTCCACAAGGTCAAAATGTATTTTGAAGGTATCGAGTTGAAGCTGTTTCATCGAGCCCCTCATCAGTGGACAGCAAGCTTTTATAGATAAGATTATATGGGCAAACGAACTCGTTAAAAAGCCATAGGGATAGTTAGTGACTTGATGGCAGTTTTAGCTTGTAATGTGTGATCAGGGTGAGCTGGCTGGGCAACAATTCATTAAAAAACTTCTAACTTCAATACAGGTCTGTGATTCCACACTGTATATCCAGTCACAAATCTGTACTGATCCTGCAAAATGAATAAATAACTCCAGATAAGTACAAAAATATTACATATTACAAACACAAGCAGTATCTGAACATCTCATTCTTCAAATGCAAAAAGAAAAGAAAAGAAAATAATAATAATAAAAACATTATTTCTAGGGGTGGCTTATATATTTAATATTAGCCTACTGGTGGTTATAATATTGATTATGTAGATTAAGCTAAATATTACTAGATGAGATCTTTGAATTTCGTATCATTAAATTTAACTTTAAATCTTTTAGTTAAAATAAAATATTGTATTTTCAGCAGCCAAATTTCTCCTACACGTCCACACACGTGATCACATTCCGATATAAGACATTATAATGCAGTCATAGATAGGTTGACCAGACGTCCCTGCTTTCTGGAGACAGTTCCGGTTTTTGGTGTCCTGTCCCCGACTGGAGCTGTCCCCAGAAATGTCCCCGTTTTACAGCAAGTTCAAAACAATGATTACTTTCACCAACAGAGGACGCTGTGAGCTACACTGATTACTAGTCACACGCCTCTACTTTAGCCATGAAGAACTTGGACTAGAGCAGAACTCTATTATCGTCAATTATCAAAAGAGACACACCGTTATTGGTTTCAAGGTAGTCACATACTAACTATATACATGTTAAAACAAAGTAATACCAGAGATTGTCTTACTATAGGGAGATGAGAGGGTCTGTATTACTTACTATTGGAGAAAGCTTAACGGTCAACTTGGATCACGTGTGCCTTCATAACCAATCACATTACAGTTGTGCGACACTCAATCGCCGTTTACGGATACCATAGGAATGAATGAGAAATGCCGTAAGCTGTATCCCACCTGTTGCAAAAAGTCAGTGGTTTCTCTTATAAAACCGCAATTTTTTCGGTGTAAACTCTAAAAATAGTTAAATTCAAATTCATCGATTCATTAAATGATAAGCTGTTTCCTTAAAAAAAGCTGTTTATTGAGCGTAGTGAAGCCTCTCCTCCACTGACATCCTTTCAAAAAAAAATTGAAACCCACATACTGGCAAACCGGAAGCATTAGCATTAGCCGTTACGCTTTTTTGGCTAAAAGTTGCAGGCTTGCCTTGTAGTGGCTTTGGTAATACTGTTTGTGTGCACTTTATAAGGTATGATAAGGCGGGATTTTTTTGCACACAGTATTAAACATTCATCTTCATTCAACTTCTGCTGTCACAACTCTGATAATAATAATTTTTTTTTAAGAAAACTAGTAAATGAATAGAGTGCAGTCTAAACGGGGCAGGGTTTTTTTTAAGAATAGAATTAGAATAGAGAGTGCTAGAGTTAGAGGGTCAAATAAAGAAAGTCAGTGAAAGTTATTTTGTGCCTCTTTGGAATGGCACAATAAAGTGATGTTCACTTGTAGAACACAAGCTTCTAGAGAGCACGTAAGTCTGTAGTAATGAATTTAGGTAAAGGGGTGCAGAGCCAGTGGTGGTTTTGTAGGCAAACATTAATGCCTTGAATTTTATGCGAGCAGCTATTGGTAGTCAGTGCAAATTCATAAACAGAGATGTGATGTGCATTCTTTTCGGCTCATTAAAAATTAATCTTGCTACCGCATTCTGGATTAATTGTAAAGGTTGGAAGACCTGCCAAGAGAGCATTGCAATAGTCCAGCCTCGACAGAACAAGAGCTTAAACAAGGAGTTGTGAAGCATGTTCCGAAATGGATCATCAGGATGGATTGAGAGGTAGAGCTGAATGTCATCAACATAGCAGTGATATGAAAAGCCATGTTTCTGAATGACAGAACCTAGTGATGCCATGTAGACAGA